TTAGTAGCATGGAGCTAACGGTCCAAATAAAATATAGGAACATTGCAGATAGTAACGTTATTCTAAATATGATTGTCAGTTATTTTACAGCGTTCAGTGTTTGTCGCTGTTGGCCGACGCCCAGGATGATGAGTCATAAAATAACAGTTTGTCTCACTTTCTGCACATTCAGTGTTCTTTACCAGTCGTACCGTCGACATCACTACCACTTTACATAATCTGTGTTCTCTGGACTGTGTTTAAGTGACGCAGAGGAATATCTCTTATTCTCATACACACTTTATCATAAAGAAGTTCTGCAGCTTTTTATATTTCTGAGTTTTATCTCCTGTCTGCCCTTGACCTGATCTATGGTCTGTATATTATGTGCCAGAAGAATAAAAGAGTGGAGCCATTAGAGACAAATATTCACTGTATCTTAAATGTCTGCAATAAATTCAAACGCAGGTACCATAATGTCCTCAGGGACATTAGACTTTAATAATCATTAATCAGCAGGGGGGGGGCGCAGAGGTCCTGGGGGGACGGCCAATAAGCGCCTTCAGGGACACACAGAAACTTATTACCCATCAGGGACGACACTCACAGACCATTAAGAGCTGAACAGCTGTCGGCATGTTGCCCCCCAGTGGTGACACAGGTTAACGCATAGGGAAACATAACATGAAATTGTTTGCGTTACAACTCAAGCTGTTAAATAAGATATATATCATTAATGTTAACTTCAGAAATAACAGCATTTGTGTCAAATTATTGGACTTAACTTAAACTTGTGAAAGCAAAGTTAATATTAATAAATGTATTGGTATATATATATATATATATATATATATATATGCTAATATATTATATAAAGTGATTCAAATAGACAGTCTAGACCTCTGCCCTGTATCTACAGCACTGATTTTGAAATAAAATGTATATTAATACCATTATTGTTATTATTATATAAATGAAATATAAAATAAGACAGCAGTTGTAACAGCAGTGAATAAATACTACTAATGATTACTAATAATGAGTAATAAATCAGTATGATCAGTCAGCACAAAATGTATGAATAGTTTTTACAACCATTAAAAATATGTTCTTCCAGAGAGGAGCATTAACGGGGTAAGAGATGTTATTTATTGCTTTCTGAATCTGAAACCTAATATTTCATGTGGTCTTTGACCCACACATGCATGTGTACACAGGAGCATTACAGCAGTCATCTGCTGGGTGTATTTAGGTCAGTAAGCAGGTTCCTTTATGTAAATTCATCCAACATCCGCAAAGCCTGCAGAGAGATGATGCAAGCGCTCTGCTGCAGCTCCAATATCCTAATGCTGGTTTATTCAGAGCGACATGAGATTGATCAGTAAATCCTCATCATCCTCTGAAACAGACAATAACCTGTACAGGACAGTAAGAGTATGTAAATAAAGCGCCTCGCTGCAGCTTCAACATGTCTGAAGCAGCAGCTCTAAAGTCCACCGGCTACGGTTCAGCTCCGTCATCCGCACTTATTCAGATCCCACCGAGAGTTTCAGAAGCACCTTTAGAGCACCTTCCTGCCCATTTACTTGTGTATTTTGCCTGAAAACGTGTGTTTCTCCACTTCAGATCCCCTCTGACTGATTTCCTTTCTGGTGCTACAGTGTTGAAGTCGCGTGCAATTTTAGTCTGCACACGGTATTTTATTTTGGAAACTGAACATTTCTGTGTCTGACTTCCTGCCAGTGAGATGCGAGTGGGTTGCAGCTTCCGTCGAAAATAGACCAGCTGCGAATTCTCTGTGGGGGGCCCCAACCCCCGAGGCATGAAGCACTGGTCTACAGATATGATTCTTGCTTCAGGTTCAGGTCCTGGACGAGCCCCCATTTGTTCCAACCCGGCTCAAAGGCGGACAAAGAAAGGGAGGACACTCAAAAGTTGTAACTAAACAAATAAGGAGAGATAAAATGCTGCAACGCTCATTAAATGTTTGATTGACCAAAGATTAACCCCTCACAGCCTTACAGCAACAGTGATTGTTTGACACCAACTGTGACACAAACACATGGGACCAAACATACTGAAGATTATTATAGGAGACAAAGTTGGTGCATATTATTCAGGAAACAGCTGGAAGAAGTTACACTGTTCATGTCCATAAATCTCTACTGTTCTCTCTTCTTCGGTTGTTTGTTTCTCTCAGTCACAGAACAGCTGTCTGTCTCTTCTTTCTCATCACATCTTGCTCCTCTTCCACCCAAGCAGAAAGCTTTTCTCCTTCTGAGCAGAAATGTTTTATTTCTCCTCCACTACTCTTATTCCCCTTGTTTACTCTTTAAAAAATACAATAAAGCAGAAATATAGTCCAGGTGAAATGAAAAAGGTTATTTTAATAGTTATATTGTACCTATTTAACAATGTATGCTAACAAATGTACATAACTTTCTTTGTGTTTTTATATCACAATCCAATCATTTTGCCTACGCAGACAGTTTGACGACGGTGTTTCCGATGTGATTTCCTGATTGACTTTTTGCTAAAAGGAGTTAACTGCTGCTAATGTTACCTGCCATTAGCTACTTAGCTTGTGCAGCTAATGTAGCTTTCTCTTTCATGTGGATGTTATATTCTGTCCTTATATTTGCTTTCTGATTCATATCTTCTCCTGTCCCACCTGTATTATATATTATCAATACTGATCTAAAATCAATGTTGTTCAGTTTTCCTGGAGGTTTCTATGGCTGTAAGAGATCAGTGGAAGGATTTTGTGTCTCTTTTCTTTGTTATATTTTCTTTATTTGTCAGACGTCCAGCTGAGCAGATGCATCCCGCTGCTGTCATATTGTTTTCTTACGTAATTGTTGTTACTGTAGTTTGTTTGGCTCCACATGGGACCAAATGCTCCTCACAGATTCCTCCTGTGGGTACATTCAGCTGGATGTGGATGTGATGATAATAATAACTTAATTTATATTGTTATTATGGAGATAGAAAAGGCTTCCAGACAGTTTCATGAATAAGTGTAGTTTGTGAATTTCAAATAATATTACACTCTGTTTGAAATTGAATCTAAAATAAAAATAAAAAAAAATGCAGAATGATACAAATTAGACCTCTTTAAAACATGATAGATACAAATAACTGTGGTTGTGGCAGTGACAGGATGTACAACAGTGTCTGAATGCTGGATAGAAACAGAGGTTTGTCAGAGCATGCTGCAACCGAGCTGAGCGGCCATGTTCCCCCCCCCCACCCCCCGTTTAGGGAGCCCAGGGGGGTCTAATTAATGAACTTTGTTTGCGCCCACGCCGTGGCTCCCGACGGAGTCGATTTGACACACAAACTCTTCAAACACAAAAGATGAGAACGGATATGAAACCCTTTAACGACGGTTAACGACTGGAGTCGGATCAAAGAGGTTTTACTGAGGTTTGTTTCTATCAGTTCTTCTGTTTTTAATGCAGCCACAAAGGAGGTTTTACACCAACAACTCGAATTCTTTAAAGCTTCAAATCCATTTCTGGCTTGAAATATTGGGTCCGGTTGAATATAATCTTTTTTGCTCAATAAGGTTCATAACTGAGTGAAAGGAACCGGATGTATTTCAATGTCAGCCGTGATCAGAGCTGTTTGAATCCTTTAACTGCTGAGGAAAAGAGCTTCACTGCTTCCTTTATTGTCTCCTTCAGCAGAGGAAACTCTGGACCATCCGAGGTGGAGCGTCTGTGCAGCTGAGGCTGAATGAAGCCTAGTTACTGAAAACTGCCACTCAAAGCCACGCCCTGAATTATACATAACTTTAATTCAAATCAATTCAATTTTATT